TCGCGAGCGCCATGACCTCCGGCGGGAGCCACTTTGGACCCCAATTTATTTATAACAGGATCTCACTCTGTTCCCCAGGCTGGAGTACAGTGGCATGATCATAGCTCACTGTGACAGGATTGACAGGCCCTATAGAAGGTGATTTAGCTGGACTCAGTGTCTTCAGAGTAGGGTAGTGTGCCTCTAGGGTGTTCCTGATAATTTGTTTCAAGAATGCTTTTATTAATAAAATGGCCTGGCAATGGCCATTTTATTTATTATTTTTTTTCTCTGTTCTGGCTTCTCAGTACAATGGCCATTTTAGATGCCAAGTCTCAGTGTTGTTAGAAGTAAGTGGGCAAAACGTGAGTTATGCGGCCCTTATCTGAGTCAGCCCAAGAAAAGAGGTTAACTTACAAAGTCTACTCTTGGCCTGCCTAGCTGCTGCTGTCTAAGAAGTACTTGGTCTGGCAGAACGATCCAAGATGGCCGATCGCTAACATCCCGGGATTGCAGCTCTCAGGGAAGGCGCGGAGAACTAGAGGACGCCACACTTTCAGACAAAGTCTGGTTGCTCACGGAGCAGAAGATCCCCCAGTGGTGGAAACACACGGGTCGCCAGCGCGACACTCGTGGTCGGCGCAGCGTTTCCGCCGGCACCTCGGCAGGGCAGCTCTCGGAGCAGAGTAAACGGGACCGGTTCCCCTTCTGACCGAGGTTTGGAGCCCCGGGAAGGCAGAGTTGCCTACTACGGACACAAGAAGGAAGCCCGACAGGAGAATCCTGGGCAGAAAAGCACCGTCAGTTTTAACGCCGCTGCTCTGGCCCTGGGAACTAACAACCTGGACGTCCACTCAAGAGACCTAATCTGAAAGTTGGTAATTTCAAAGACGGCAGGAGGATAAATTTACAATGACGGGAAGAAACCAGCGTAAAAAAGCTGAGAATACTCAAAGTCAGAACGCCTCTCCCTCTAAAGATGATCACAGTTCCACATCGACAATGGAACAAGGCTTGATGGAGAACGAGCGCCTCCTGATGACAGAATCACTCTTCAAGGAATGGATAATAACAAACTTCGGTGAGTTAAAAGAACATGTTGTAGCCCAACGTAAAGAAACTAGGAACTTTGAAAAAAGGTTTGATGAAATCCTATTGAGAATAGACAACTTAGAGAGGAGTATGAGTGAATTAATGGAACTGAAGAATACAATACAGGAACTCCGAGAAGTATGCACAGGTTTAAACAGTCGAATTGTCCAAGCAGAAGAAGGGATATCAGAGGTCAAAGTCCAACTTAATGAAATAAAACGTGAAGAAAAGATTAGAGAAAAAAGGATAAAAAGGAATGAGCAAAGTCTCCAAGAAATGTGGGACTATGTGAAAAGACCAAATTTACGTTTGATAGGTGTACCTGAATGTGACGGAGAGAATGAATCCAAGCTGGAAAATACCCTTCAGGATATTATTCAGGAAAATTTTCCTAAACTAGCAAAGCAGGTCAACATTCAACCCCAGGTAATACAGAGAACACCACAAAGATATTCCTCAAGAAGAGCAACCCCAAGGCACATAATCGTTAGATTCACCAGGGTTGAAACGAAGGAGAGGATACTAAGGGCAGCCAGAGAGAAAGGTCGGATAACCCACAAAGGCAAGCCTATCAGACTTACAGCAGATCTCTCAGCAGAAACTCTACAGGCCAGAAGAGAGTGGGGGCTAATATTCAACATCCTCAAAGAACAGAACCTTCAGCCCAGAATTTCATATCCAGCCAAACTAAGCTTCACAACTGAAGGAAAAATAAAATCTTTTATGAACAAGCAAGAACTCAGAGATTTTATTACCACCAGGCCTGCTTTACAAGAGCTTCTGAAAGAAGCATTACACATAGAAAGAAACAACCAGTATTAGCCTTTCTAAAAATACACCAAAAAGTAAAGAGCACCAACATAAAGAAGAATTTACACCAACAAATGGATAAAACAGCCAGTCAACATCAAATGGCAGTAACCCTAAATTTAAATTGACTGAATTCCCAATCAAAAGACACAGCCAAAACCCAATGGCATGTTACATCCAGACCTGTTTCACATGCAAGGATACACAAAGACTCAAAACAAAGGGATGGAGAAAGATTTACCAACCAAATGGAGAGCAAAAATAAATAATAAATAAATAAAAAGCAGGAGTTGCAATTCTTGTATCGGATAAAATAGATTTTAAAGCAACAAAGATATAGTGGTAAAAGGATCAATGCAACAACAAGAGCTAACGATCCTAACACCCAGATAGGAGACTTAGATTCAATGAGACAGAAAATTAATAAGGATATCAAGGACTCGAACTCAGATCCAGAACAAGTAAACTTAATAAATATTTATAGAGCTCTCCACTTCAAATACACAAAATATACATTCTTGTCAATACCACATTACACCTACTCATAAGTTTAAATAAAACATTGATTGGCCATTATTAATACCCAATTTTTTTCAAAATAAAGCAATATTTCCATTTACTCTCCCTCTTTCTCTTCCTCTTTCTTCCTCTCCTTTACTTATTTTTTTTTTTTTCTTTCCTTCTCTCAAAAAAAAAGAAATCAACTTGTAAACCTCTAGATCCAGGTCGGCAATGTCTCTTTCATTGCTTGATTTCCTTTCTTCCCTTCCCTCCCTCCCTCCCCGCTTCCTCTCTTCCTTCCTTCCTTCATCCCTTCCTTCCTCCCTACCGTCCTTCTTCCCTTCCTTCCTGCCTTCCCCCCCCCCCCCAAAAAAAAAAAAAAAAAAAAAAAAAGAAGTACTTGGTCTTTGGCTCTTAATCCTGCCTTTTATGAGCCTTCAGAAGAGAGGCTTGGGATCTGGAGGTGAGGCCCAAGTGTGGAACTAAGCCCCTTTTCTTCTGGAGCCTGATCTGATTGTTTGAAACTAACAAGAACTGGTGAGACTGGCCTGAGAAAGCCTCTGCCTCTTTCCCTCTGAAGTGTTTCTTGAGTATAGAGGATGATCTCCATCTCCCTGATTTCCTCATGTACCTTGGACTCCTCCTCTTTCCTCTGGTCCTTTGGGTCTAGTTTCTGATTAAAATTTCTAGTACCTGGTCAGGCACAGTGGCTCACGCCTGTAATCCCAGCACTTTGGTAGGCCAAGGTGGAGATTATTTGAGGCCAGGAGTTTGAGACTAGCATGGTTAACATGGTAAAACCCTGTCTCCCGCTGCCCTCCAGCCTGGTGACAGAGCAGGACTCTTGTCTCAAAAAAAAAAAAAAATCATGTACCTTAGTGAAGTGGTTGTGGGTCTGGTGGGAACAGTACTCACCTTCCTTGAGGGACCCAGAAGACATGTGAGGCCTATAAATGGTGGCTGTGTTTTGCCAGGCCCTGAAAAAGCAGGGGCCTGGCAGCTAGTGCCCTGGCAGGAGTATTCAAGCCACTCCACTGATTGCACCCTGCCCTGGAGCAGATCCCCCCTCCAGAAACCTGAGTTCTTTGCTCCAGGTCCAGCAGAGGTGAACCTGCTTGCCCCAGACTGGGGTTATTTTTCTGCAAAAACCTGATCCTCACGTGTTCCCTATCTCTGCTGACAGCCACTGTCTACCCTGGCCCCCAGGTGGGACTCCTCAGAGTAATCCCATGTCCTCCCTCTCCCTCAGCCGTGGTTCTACTGCTTCACAGACATCTCTTTAATCTGGCTCCCTGTCTCCGCCCATATTGCCATTGCCTCTCTATGGGCTGTTTCTGTGATCTGTGCCGCAGGCCTCTGCTTTCCTCTCTGTGTGCACTGTGCCCCTTGCCTGCTCTGGGCCTCTGACTCCTTTGCCTAGTGGTTAGTCTCCTGCTTAGGCTCATCTTCTTCCTACACCTCTGCCCCCTGCACATGCCACACACCAGCATGGCTGAGTGGGACGCCAAACAGGCTGCTGACATTCCCTGCTCTGCCCCTTGGCAGATGTTCTTCTTGCCCTGGGAGTGCCCTTTGTTTTTGACCCCCATCAACCATGTCTGATCCCTTCAGCCCTGACCATATCTCTGATGACACTTGCCATCCTGCCTGGTATGTCTCTTTCACATTTACACAGAGTGTCCTCACTGGGTTGTGAGCTCCCTGGGACTCCCCCAGAGTAAGCACAACGCCTGGCATCGTGCACGTGGGCTTTGGGATGAGTTGTTTCTGAATTTTGCTGTGCTTTGCCTCAGTGTGTTGGGCTTCAGTAAGTTGTGTCAGACCCCATCAGCCTGCAGCCTTCCTACAGCTTGAAGCCATCATTTGGAACTCAGCCTCACCCCACTGCTCTAACCATTATGGCACTGATTATGTGTAGGGGCTCTGCTACCACCTTCCTACCTGGAGGAGTAGTGACTGCTCCCTTTTCTGTATGTCAAGACTCAGTGTCATTGAATCAACTCCTGACTCACATTTGGTCATGTGGGGAAACAGACATCAAGGGCTGTGGTCAGCTGGTGGAGCAGAGCATGGATTCTGGAGCCATACTGCCTGTATTTGCATCCTGGTAGCTGTGTTATCTGGAGTGAGTTACTTTACTGCTCTGCCTTAGTTTCCCCCTTTGTAAATGAAAGTGATACTAGTATCTAACTCATATATAGTATAGTTATGAGCATTGAGTTAATTACTATAACATGCTTAGATAGTGCCTGACATAAAAAAGGGCTACTTAAATATTAGCTATTCTTTCTTTACTTTTTAGAGATTGGGGTCTCTCTCTGTTGCCCAGGCTGGAGTGCAATAGCATGATCATAGCTCCCTGTAACCTCAGACTCCTGGGTTCAAGTGATTTTCTTGCCTCAGCTTCCTGAGTAGCTGGAACTACAGGTGCGCGACTACCACATCTAGCTAATTTTTTTTTTTTAGAGTGGGGTCTTGCTATTTTGCCCAGGCTGATCTTGAACTCCTGGCCTCAAGCAGCCCTCCTCCTTTGGCCTCCCAAAGTGTTGGGATTATAGGTGTGAGCCACTGTGCCCAGCTATATTAGCTGTTCTTATTATTTAGAAAATGTTTCTTTTTAAAATATGGAACGCTTCACGAATTTGTGTGTCATCCTTACACAGGGGCCATGCTAATCTCTGTATCGTTCCAGTTTTAGCATATGTGCTGCTGAAGCAAGCACAAGGTGTGTGTTTTTTCTACCTGATGAAGGAAGTACCTGTATATTTAAAGTTTTCGTATACATGTTTATGTATGGCCGGGCATGGTGGCTCACACCTGTAATTCCACCACTTTGGGAGACTGAGGTGGGCAGATTACTTGAGATCAGGAGTTCGAGACCAGCCTGGCCAATGTGGTGAAACCTTGTCTCTAACAAAAATATAAAAAATTAGCTGGATATGGCGGTGCATGCCTGTAGTCCTAGCTAGTCAAGAGGCTAAGGCAGGAGAATCACTTGAACCCAGGAGGCAGAGGTTGCAGTGAGCCAAGATCATGCCACTGCACTCCAGCCTGGGTGACAGAGTGAGACTCTGTCTCAAAAAAATAAATGAATTAATACATGTTTGTGTATTAAACTAGAGTTAGGTATCAGTGAAACTGCCTTTTTTCTCAAGTGCTTGGTTTTCTGTGTTTGAATAGATGTGTTTAGTATGATAGCTGGAGTTGAATTATGGAAAAAGATGGCACAGCAATCAAAGTCAGGATGTTGATGTTTTGAGTGTTTTCTTGTGGGTTGCACTGGCTCAGCAAGGACATCTTTGCCTATAGGGCTGTCAAAGGCAGAGGGCAGGCACCCTGGAGTCTTGCTTGGAACTTGGGCAGATGATAACAGAAAGTGCCTCTCCAGTGAGGCTGTGGTGCTCAGACTTTCCTGGGAGCCTATGGGCATGTCTCAGCTTGCATAGTCAGAGGTTTCTGTTGAAAGATGTGGAAGTTTTGATGTTTATCTTTCGCAAGGTGTTTTTTGGCCTCCTTAAGTGTGAAACCAAGGAACAGGTGTGGCCCCAAAATAAGAATGTCAGAACCCTTGGCTAAATGACTCGGAAGCAGGGCAGGTGAGCCTACCTGCAGCCCCGCCCTGACATTGGTGAGCTGGCAGGGAAGGGCAGAGGCTAGGATACTGGATTGGGGAAACAGGAAGACAAAGTCAGGGTTGTCGATGGAGAGTGGGGTCTGCGTGTCTCTCAGGCTTGGGTACTTTAAGGGAGTGGGAGAAAGACAAATCTTGCTTCAGTGTCTTGTGCCACAGACAGAGGTAGGGAGACTCAGGCTGTGTTGATAGGAGGCCCAGCTGCATCAGAGCTGGGTAGTTGATAATTTCCTCCTTGCCATTTCTGTAGCACAGGCAGCTATTAGCTCAGTGTGGCATGCATTACCTTAGTTACTACAATGCCTAAAGCAGCATCAGGCCCATTGAAGCATACTTTCCTTGACCGTGACTGTTAGAAAAGGAATAGCTGCAAGAACTACAGCAGGGACTGGGAGTAGGGGACATATCTCCTGAAACAGGTGGTGCCCAGAAACCAGGCCCTGGCCTCTGGGGGAGGAGGGATAGGGGCTGTCTGCTTTTCTTCCACGAGATGGTCCTGAGCAAGTGAGCATCTTTCCCTCCCCTAGAGCTTGCCTTACCAGGCTTGCTCTGAGTGGGCTGTTAGAGGCATAGGCCCAACAGGAAGCTGCTTCTGCTGGGTAGGACACATTCTGTGAACAGTTGATATTTCACATCTGCATGTGTCATGGAAGAGGAACTGCAGATAGCAGAGATCAGGGCAGAACACCAGGGGTCTGTGCCAGGTTCATGAGGGCAGAGGCTAGTCCCTGCCTGAGTGGCAAGCAATGAAAAGAAATAACAAAGTGTTTGATATCATTCCTCCCTTTCCTCCTAAGAGTGCAACACATCAGTGAAAGATGTCTCTGCTTGGAGCAAATACCAGTAGCAAGTGGCTTTATGCACTGGCTGTCTTAGAAATTATTGGCATGTAGGTGGATTTCTAGTAGTCTGGAAATGCTGTTTGTCCATACCTGCCAAATAGACACCGCTTCTTTCCTGCTCCATATAGCTTGGGACCCATGTTACAGCTGACACTCCCTGCAGTGTCCGCCATTAACCCCCACCTGTCTCTGGAGCATCTTTCACCTTCTGGAGGATCTACAGTACTTCGCAGGGGTTTGCTGTGGGGCAACCATGCTTTTCCCCAGCTGGGTGATTTGAGCCATCAGGGCCCACTGGGCTTCTGGGTGTCCCTCTTCCTGGGAACAGGCCTCTGCTCCCCTGGCATGATTAGGTGCTCTGTGCCTGACTGAGGCTGGTAGGGGGAAGAAACCGATTGTCACCCTGTAGTTCAAGCCTATAAGGTGCCTTCAGGCAGCCCTGCCTGGAAAAGTGCTCACGACCCAGGAGGGTCTCTGAATTAGCTGGAGCAGCTGTTCAGGACCAGGGCCATGGGAAAATAGGTTGGGTTTGTGTGCCTGGTGCTGCCTTGTCCCCCTCTGCCTTTCTCATTCTGTTGTTTCTCATTCCGAGAGACTCTTGACAGATGGCCTAGATGGGAGTGAAGGGGTCCAGGGCCTTGTAGCTCTGAGCGGCAACAGGTTCTCCAGGGCAGTCCAGAACAGAGGGTGGTTTGGCAGTTGGGCCCCAGAGGTAGTTAGCTGATGGTTCAAGCGGTGGCTAATGATGTAAGTGCTATAGGACACTGTGGTCCACGCTGGGAAGCTTGTTTCATGTAAGATGCTCTCTGCTTCCCTGCCACTCTTCCCCGGGCTGGCAGCGCCCCTGGCCCTATGACCAGCAAGCGTGTGTTCCTTTTCTGTGGATCTCCTCCCTGACCCACAGGAGACCTGTATCACCCCAGCACACCAGGGCTGGTCAGCAGCCTTTTCAAGCGAGGTAGCTTAGCCAGACCTAAAAATTCTTATTCCTGGGCATGGGATTCCTCCTCTATACTGTCCTGTTTTTGTCTTCCAAATACCACCTCCTAGCCTCTCTCATAGAAGTAAACATTCTAAGACTGGAGTTTTCAGGGCAAGTTAAGTCCTTTAAGAGAAAAGGTTTCATCTACAGCAGAGGACCAGTTCTGAAACCTGAGTTTGTCAGTGTCTGAAAACAGAGATTCTCAAGTGTCCTGGTGAGTCTGAGGCCACATCAGGGTGAAGCAGAGTGGAGACCAGTTCCCATTCAGGCCCCTGCCTTCCTAGTGCTGGCAGAAGATCTATATCCCAGGACCCTAGGAACGTGAGGATGCCACTCCAGGGGCTTCTTTTGGGAAGGGTTTGGCCATCGCTCAGGACCCAATGATGTATGCAGAGCCACAGGCATATGTTACCAGAGGTCACCCATTCAATGACTTTCCCAAGAGGCTCAAAAGGAGCTCAGGGAAACAAGCAAAAGCCAAACCCAGCCCTAGAAGAGAGGCACCAAGCCTGGTGAGCTAATGTTGCACCTCAGTTTTTCAGGACAGTACAATACCTTTCCTTAGCCTGGTTCAGCATGGGTTACAGAGCCAGCTTGTTCTGTCAGGACAAGGTGTTGGTGGGTAGTGCTGCCAGATGGACCAGATGCTATCCGAGCCATGTCCTATCCAGACCCAACTAGACCCAGCCTGGTACCCCTTGGCCTCTCCTGGCCATCAGGAATCTATTTCTCTGGGTGAGGAGGGTGCGATCTGTGTAAGGCCCCTTTTTCTGCAGGTGCTAGCTGTATTGTTCCTTGCTCTGCCCACGACTTCAAGCTGCCACCTGGGCTCTATCTCAGTGGAGGACCTAGGTGCCCATGGGAAGCCATGCTCTACTTGGTGTCAGTCCCTGATATCATCAGCTACCTGCCGAGGCAGCCTTTTTCTCCTGCCCCCTTTACCATGGCTTTCATGCTGAGCTACCATGAAGAAAAGACCCCACACCCAGGATACTGCTAGCCCCTCCTGCCTGCAGTGCCAGAGGCATTGCCTTATGGTTGCATTGGTCCTGTTTCTTAGTTCTGAAAGTTCAGGGTAACAGCCATGGGAGTGCTGTGACAGGGGTGTTCTCTGATGCCACCCTACAACATTTGCTGAATGAAAAAAATCTCTTTTGCTTTCTCATTGTCCATTGTCAAGCTGCTCCAGGCTGTTGGGTCCTGCCAGATTTTTTAAGATAGAGGTTACAGGGACAGCATCTGTCTGCTTGATTTCTGGGAAGCGATGGCTCTTTGTAAGTGACCACCCTTGTAGAGCAGCCCTGCCATGATGTCCCCCGATATACCTGGGCATGGCCCCATACTCGGGAAGCACTCTGGCCAAGCCAGCACAGCGCTCATCCTTCCATAGCCAGCCTCAAGAGTGACATTCTGAGAGCCATTGGGCATGGCTGTTGAGCCCTGCCAGGTGCTGCAAGGGTTAGATTGCCTCCCTGGGAAGCCAGAAACAAGTAAGAGTGGAGCAGGTCTGGGGCTGCCGTCAGTGGCCACTCATTAGAAGAGGGGCTAGTGACCAGCTGTATCCTACCGGCTCCCTTGGGGCAGAAGGGAGCAGAACATGTGAAATGCCCAGACTTGACCACAGAGCTGGGGCTTAAGATGGTGAGGAGGGCCAGGTGCGGTGGCTCACTCCTGTTATCCCAGCACTTTGGGAGGCTAAGGCGGGTGGATCACGAGGTTAGGAGTTTGAGACTAGCTTGGCCAAGATGGTGAAATGCTATCTCTACTAAAAATACAAAAAATTAGCTGGGCGTGGTGGCGGGCACCTGTAATCCCAGCTACTCCAGAGGCTGAGGCAGAAGAATCACCTCAGCCACTGCACTCTTGACAGAGCAAGATTTCATCTCAAAAAAAAAAAAAAAAAAAAAAGATAGGAAAAGGAATCTCCCTGGTGAGTGTCTCTCCTGTGTGCCATGCACATTCTTTTAATCTTCCTGCCATCCCCAAAAGAGAAGCTTAGCCAAGGGATCTTGGGGACTAAGAAGTGACAGAATTGGGATTCTAGCCCGTGTTTCTCTGACCCACAGTCTGGTGATGACTGGGACCCATTTGTTGGGAAGAGATGACTGGCTTGGTGGTTAGTGCTCAGGCTAGCTTTTTGTTTTTTTGTTTTCTTTGTTTTTTGAGAGAGTCTCACTCTTTCCTCCAGCCTGGAGTACAGTGGTACAATTTTGGCTCACTGCAACCTCTGCCTCCTGGGTTCAAGCGATTCTTCTGCCTCAGCCTCC